GGAAACCTCGGTGGTGCCATCGAGAAGGGGGGAGCGTTCAGTGGGTATTTCCACAATGGACTTAGGACAAAGCCAGACAACGTGGGCAGAGGATGCAGATAAAATGTTTGCTCTTCCATAAGAAGATATAACACACAGCTCACAGCTCAAGATAATATACACTTAAAACATGCTGAAGTCCCAGTTGACAAGCTGTCCACATGTCAAAGGGTGATCTCTGTCCCAGGAGAGACAGCAGTCTGCACCTGCCAATATACAAATGGGTAAAGAGCAGACTTGGGCAAGCACAGGCTAGTCAGGCAAAGACTGAACCAACATAAAATAAACGGACGGCTGCAACCAAACCAGATCACCAGGAAGCAAAGGAGACCAGCATAATTAATGTCAACCAACACATGTTTACAGCTGTCAGATTCTGTTGGCAAAAGTGATTTATTTCTGTGGGGATTGCAGGCTTGACTGATAAACAAACTAATCCCTACACCATTCATTTAAACTCAGAGAAGAACTTGGTACCGTTTCCCATTTTTAATCAAGAAACTACCACTCCATCAAAGGACAGTGGCACGTGTTTGCAGTCACTGTTAGCTGGCTCAGAACAAACCCACGACTGGGGGGGGGGTCCACGGCAGGGGACAAGATGTCCACCAGAGATCTGTGCGCCACAGCAATAAAACCATTGCCAAAATAAATCATCCACTTGTGCTACTGACAAGTCAGAGAACTTCCTGGTTTCACCTTAGAAAGTTCAAAAAAAAGTTCAAAAAAACCCCCAGGAATTAAGATTGGAAAATATGCCAGTGGAAGACTTTACAAGCTCTGTATATTTAGCGCATCAAAGAGAGAAGCAAGAGGTGACTCCCATAGCCAACAAGGTAAGCAAAGCTCGCTCCAAACTAGTGGCCAAAGGAATAATGTGTTTTCCTGGCTGTAAACAGGAGGAAGCCATGTCTTTTTAGTACCATATAGTGCACCCTGCCTTGGCTCCCCGTAGACTGGGGGCCAAGGTGCAGAGGGGCATGGCAGCCCATGCCAGGCAGCAGCTAAACTGATGGCCTCCCAAATCCTTCCTGGCATCACAGAGCCCATGCTGACCGCTGCTGCTTGAGATGTGCACTGTAGAGCAGTGTTTCACAAGCCCATGGAGGTGGGGAACGTCCTAGTACAGAGCCAGGGGAAGGGAAAAAGCTGATTGCTTTTTTTTTTTCCTGAAAGTTTGAGGATGCCTCTTCAAGACCAACTAAACAGAACAAATCCCAGTTTCCAAGTTAGGCAGAGTCAGAGTTTGGAGCCAGCCAGCTCATGCTCTGGTTCAGAGCAGGGTGCAAGGCAGCCAGGACAATGCTGGCATCACTCTCATTCATCCCTCCACTTGAACATCCTCCTCAGCTGGAGAAAGCACAAAACTGCCCCCACAGAAAGAGGCCAAGTTCAGCCAGTTACTTCTAGGGCTGCAGTGGGAGACACAGGCCAGCTCTACCTCGGATGCAACTTAGCCACCTCTCTGGCTGCCACAGGAGCCCAGGGGTCAGGAGATTCAAGCCCACCCACCTGGCAGTGCCCACTAGCACAGATCAGCACAGATCCAGAGACACACAGGTACACGCAGCCCACCGTGGAGAGTTCATTACACCCAAGCCAGAATAAACATTGCTTGAAATGGCAGGAGGTTACAGAGGAATAACCCACACCCAGAACTGTCAGAAAGGGTCCCCAGCAGGGAAGAGCTTTGCAGGAACTCCTCCACACCCAGGAGTCAGTACTGCTGGGTCTGACTGGTAGCTGTGCTGTGAGGCAGGAATGTACACCCTGGAACATTGGGGCATACCTACCTGGCAGCAGGGAGAAGCATCAGCAGGAGCTATTAAGGAAGGAATGCTTTCAAGGGACACTAAACCCCAGTCTATGCCTTAAATAATCCGTGCTTGGAGCAACAAGCTAGCAGGATCTCCTGGGCTTCTCCAAAGGCAATGCTAGCCAGCAAGACATTGCTGCTGCCAGCCTGCCATCCCAGGGGAAGGATATCCTCTTACCTTCTGGGGATGGCTGCAGCCATTTCCCCCCCATTTCCAAAAGCCATGGCTGCACCCAAAGAGTCATGGAAGTGCCAACTCCTGAGCCCCGTGAGAGCCAGGGGGGTGAGGAGGCATGCTGCAAGGGCAGCCTGACTGCAGCACCTCCTGCTCCATGTCAGACCATCTCCCTTCCATCCCTGAGACTCCACCATCCTATTAATTTTTTAAAATTGCCGTAAATTTCATTTTTAAACCTTCCTGTACTGCTGAAGCAGTAGCAGACTGGGAAGCTCAAAACCCAGGCTGCTGAAAGCCAGCACCACTGCACCCACACTGCTTGGGAAACTTGAGCCACGGCATCCCCAGTATCTTCAGCACAGCATCAGTGAGTCCAGAGGGAGCTATGCTCCCACTCCATGTCCACTAGCCTTCGGCTTCAGAGGCCCAATGTCCCCAACAGTTAACCTCAGGGGACATGGCGGGAAGGGTGCTGGAAGCTACCTGTGGTGGGCCTTCCTCCAGCTCTGCCCCAGACCTCCCCACAACCTCTCGCAGTCCTGCTCCCTCAGTCAGTCCTCAAACCCTCAGCTCCTTCACCCCACACCTCTCCTCCAGTCTCCTCCTCCCATTCCCCTCCGCTATTTTTCAACATCTCCAAAGCTTTCTCCACCCTTCCTCCCCACCCTCCACCCCTCTTCCCTGCCTCCTCCTCCCTCTCCATCCCCTGCTTTCCCACACCTCCTTCCTATGACTAGGCAGCCATGCCATTCTTCCTCCACTTCAGCTAATTCCCTGTCTCCACGGGAGCCTGCCAGTGTTTCATCTCTGCTGCTGAGCCCCCTTTCATGCCTCCTGGCTTCTGCCAGCCCACCCCCTTCCTCCCTGCTGTGGGGAGGGCAGCAGGGAGACCTGTGTGCTCGGCAGGCCTGACCCCTGGCTCTCATTAACAGCGCCCTTCTCAAAGCAGGCACAACGTGAAATAAATAAATAACACAAATCTCTGTCTCGCTGCTGTCTCGGGTTGCTTAAGGGAGCCGGGCGCCGGGGGTGGCATGAAGGATGCTATTTGGAGCTGTCTCCATGGCAACCCCCATTCCCACCACCGAGCGGGCACAGGTCACCTGTTTCCATGAAACTTTCCCCGCTCCCTTCCCATCCCTCCATCCAAGGAAGTGCCAGCACAGCCCCAGGGGTGCAGGCAGTCCAGCCACGGGAGAAGTGGCAGGGATGCTGCTGGTGTGGCTGCAAACAATCTCCAAAGCCCCCCACACCACGTCAGAGGAAGCCAGGGCCCCACGGAGCATCATGCAGGGACTGGCAGCATCCATTCCCCTCCGCCCTGTGCCGGCAAGGCAACCCATCGTCTCCCTGCTTGTGTCCCCACAGTCAGTCTAACACAGGCAGGGGGGCTGTGCTCTGCTGCAGGACTTGGGGAGGGAGCCAGGCACGCAACCTGACACACGTGCTGTTGGGACTGGGGCTGAGACCAAAATGGGTCTCCTCACTCCGTATGCAGCTCTGGGTGCTGCGTTTCTGTACAATTATTTATTTTAATCTGAAGTCGGCCACTCCCATTAAACGCTGCCAGGTGCTCCCAGAACAACCCATGGTTCCCTTTTTAGCTTTAACAACTCCATCTCTCATGCGACAGATGCGCTCGCCAGGACCTTTCCCCAAGTAAGGCAGCGTCAGCCCCGCGTCGCTGAGCTCTCCCACAGCCAACCTGATGCTCCCACCCGCACCGGCCCCCTCCCTGCACACCCACACGTCCGCCGCAGGGCTGGCAGCAGAGCCCGATACCCGCCGCACCAAAACAGCCAGCAGAGTTCCAGGAGGAGACACAGAGAGGATGAAGCAAGAAGAGGAGAAGGGGGAAGTGGTTCTGCTCTTCAGCAAGGGTTGAGGGCACAAACAGTGACAGTCTCACCCACCGCTGGCATTAACTTATCTTCTGCCGGTAACAGCAGGCAGCTCCCTAAGGCTGGGGTGGATAAAAGGGTCGGCAAAGAGCCCCCAGCTGAAGTTCTGGGGTTGGCACCCGGGCAGCCATCCTGCAGCACAGCGCAGGCTGGAGGGATTCGCACGGTTCCCCCACAGGGCTGGGAGTTTCGCCAGGAAAAGCAAGTTTATAAATAGTGTGTTTCAACACGAACAAACGAAAGCGACAGAACTTGACAGTCAGATAAGCCAGGGGCTGAGTGCTGGCCCCTCCCCAGCATCCTCCCCCTCCAGGAAGGACGGTCCCTTCCCTCCATCGCCCAGCTGGCAAGGACCATCCTCACTCTCTAGAAAGCCTGAATCTGGAGGTGTCTGCATCAGATGTGCTGCCTGGGAACACCCTTGCCGCAGCTGGTCTGGCAGCCAGAGCAAGGCAGCAGAGCTGGAATCAAAAAGACCAGAAGAAGGGGGGATGGCCACCTGCTTTGCCTGGGGGCAAGGGCAAACACAGCCCACAGCAGCTGCCTGCCCAGCCAGGGCCAAGGGCCACAAATTTCAACGTCTTGCTTGAAATCAAGTCTTCATAAGACCACAGGCCAGAAAGTTTCTAATTTCTCCTCCCACCCCCTGCAGAAGACAGCTGCCCCACTGGTGAGGCTGGCACTTGAAAGAGAAGTTTCATGGCATGATGCGTTACACCAAAGGGGCACATACCTGCCAGATCCTAACAATAAGCAAGGCACTCGAGGGGAAAACCAGCTTTTATCTCTGCATTAAGGAGAAGAGCAGCAAGTTGTCAGATGAGAACTTGCTTCTCGTAAACACAAAACAGCAGAAAAGACACCCCTGCGCCTACAGAGCAAATGGGAGGACATCTCTGCTGAGGAACTACCTGCCAGATTGCAAAAGGAGATGATCTTGATGGTAGTGCCCGAGGGAAGACATCAAGAGATGATGTGTCAGAGCAGGCCCATCAGCTGTCAGGGAGAGAAGCCTCTGACAGTCCACAAACACATGCAACACATACTTCATGCCATGCTTGCTTACCTTGATGTAGGTGTCAAGGGCTGGGTGGACACGGTTGACTGCTAGATGGATGGACAATGGCGTAGTGAACGGGAAGGACGCCATGACCACATGGCTTGGAGCAGGGAAGGAGAAGATCTTGAAGCCATACTTCTGGAACCGCTTGATCTGCTCTTCCGATGGCTTTGCATCTCCCTCGCTCAGGATTCGGCCTATGGCGAAGCGGCACTTCTCTGGAGACACCTGATCGAGGGGGACAGACAGATGGTGTCAGAAGAAGAGAGGCCAAAAGAAGAGAGAATAAGACTGGCCAAAATCTCAACCTGCTGAGCATGGAGGCAGCAGACCACCGTGAACCAGGTAAATGCAATAGCTCAGCATGATCAGGCACACCAGACCAGGTGCCCACTCCTAACCAAGACTGACCCAGGCCCAAACTGTCCACACTCGTCCCAGCCTAAGCTCACAGCCCAGCGGGGAAGGTACTGCTCCCCACCCTGGAAGGCAGAGGGACTTGCAGCAGAGAACTAAACCCCACCAGGGTGCTCATTCAAACCCACCCTAGGTGACAGCCACTGCAGAAAGTGTCTCTCCTGACACCCCCATCAGAGACCCAACTGTTGAGAAATGCTCACTGCTGTCCCCATCTCTAGGACATCCCTGAGACTCTGGCGAGGGCTAAAAAGGAATGTGACCACAACCTGCCCAGCTTGCCTCCATCCCACCCCCAAGGAGGTCACCCTGCAGGGGCATCTGCCCCCAGCAGCCACCTGGACACACAACCCACCATCACAGGCCACCAGTACTAAGCCAGAGAGAAATCCAGAGGTTGCTGCATCCCTCCTTAGCAGGCACACTCTATCCAGCACAGTTTTAGGGGTGTGGAAGCCAGGACACATGCAGTCACCAACCTGTTAGTAACAACACTAAGAGAAAAACATCCCCTTCCACCCTGGACCCCAACAACATGTAAAACATAAACCACGCTCTCTTTCCAGATTTGGGGATGCCTCCCGTTAAGACAGGAGGCTGCAGGTCTCCCAGCCCTGAAAGGAGGGTGCTCAAGGCTCTGCTCCCAGCACAGAAATGGCCCACAGGACTGCGGCCATCTCCACACCAAAGCTGACCCAGACCGTGGCTTTCATTTCTGTTTTTTAACAGAATACCACCTCTTGAGTTCTCGTTTAGCCATGGCACTAAGCAGGAACACGGCAGGGGCCAGGAGACCCCAGAAACTCCCTCCCAATACCACCTAAGGGTGCAACGTGCCCTCCTACTGCTGAGATCAAAGCTTAGCTCCCTCCTTTAACTCCAACCTTTGTCTGCCCTGAAAAAAGATATGCTTGAAGCAGGAACCAGCAGGCAGAGACAAGGATTCTTCCCCCAGGGCACAGTGACCTAAAGAAGGAGCCCAGGAAGAATATGGGGTACAGGAGGCACCATCTGAGTGTTCGTGCTTCCCTGCCACTGGCTCTCAAGTCTGCTGGATAATGAGATGATGTGGCAGCCAATAACCAGGAGCGGCAGATGCCTGAGTGTGGCCAACTTCTGCCAACCATCCTTCTAGTGAGGGCTGGAGAACCAAAGTCTCCAAACTCCAGCCACACAAGGCGGCAAAACTCACCAGGACCTGGCAGGACACCCGAGAGCAGCAGTGAGATGGACGGACACCCTCCAGGCACTGGTATCACAAAGTTCTCACGGAGATGACAGGAGGTAGAGAGAGGGTGCACACAAGGTCAGCGTATTACCACTTCCCATGCCTGTGCACCCTCAAGGAGATCTCTGCTCTGCACTCCCCCATCTCAGCCCTAACTGCCTGTGTTAAAGCTCAGCAACATCTCCTCCTGAAGCATAACTACCCCACACATCACTGCTTGCCCTCCCTTTCCCTTAAACACCCTTTACTGTTGCACGGCAGGACCATCCCGGAGGGGAAACACAAGCAGATGTAAATAGGAAGAAAACAGACTGTCAGAAGCAGCCGCAGCCATCAGGCTGGGGACTGTGTGCCTGACGGCTCGCTCTTGCCCTCCTGTGCTGCAAGGGGGAGCTGCAGACAGGGCTGTGCCGAGCATCACTGCTTTGGGGCAGGGAAGAAACAGATCCAGCCCAAAGACAGCAAGAGGCACCAGTAAAAGGCATCACGGGGAAAGGCCCAGATGAAGCAAGGAGATATGGGAAATCAAGATAAAATTCCTCTAAACAGGCAATCTCCATTTATGTCCTGAGCAAAGCAACACCACTTGGGCCAGGCACGTTTGCTTCCTCCCTTAACTTTCTTTTTCATCGTGTACAGCCCCACAGGCACTTTCTCAAGGGCAGCAGCAAGGCAAATTTGCCTCCTCCCTTGCCTGTCAAAGCCCATCTCAAGGGAAGGAAGGCAATACTGCCGTTAAAACCAGCCTTTCCCTAATAAATTTGTCCTTTCAGGTTGGGCAGGTGCTCATCAAAACCTCTGCTCCATCAAGCGTCCTGACAGAATAGTTTTCAAAATTATTAGTGAACCTATTCAACAGCTTTGCCAATGGGAGCAAAACCCATTTCTGCATTCAAAGAGCATTTTGGCCTCATCCATCCAACACTTGCGCACAGGCTGGTTGCTGAGCACACAAACATGTGGACTGCAGGCAAAAGGCCTTAGCACGTGCCTACAGCTAAACGTGAGCAGAAGTGCTTGGCTGGAGCTGAGCACAAACCCGCCTGCCACATCCAGTCCTTGCTGAGGAGCTATTTTTGTTCCTTCCAGAGGTGGAAGAAGGAGGGAGAAGTCCTCTGGGCTGCTAAATATTAAATAAAAATGAAAAAAAAAAAAAAGTGCAAATTAATATTAATCTTGTCCATTAAAACATAAAACATTGCTGGCAGGAGCTCAGCAGCGCTCGGGGAGCATCCTTGTGTGAATGCAGGAGAGCCAGGAGCCAGCAGGGAGCCCTGAGGATGCTAATGACAGTGTGCACCCCAAGGCCTAGCATGACCCCAAAGCATCCCACATGCTCCAGGCCATGGGGCTCCCCCCATCGCCACTCCCGGCTAAGAGCTGGCACACAGCCGCTGCTCTCCAGCTCTGGTATCCCCCGTCCTCTTTCCTAGCAAGAGCCTCCTTTGGCCATGAGTCCACCAGCACAGCAAATACCACAGCAGCCAGTCATCAGCCCCTTCCTGCTGCAGTACTGGGGGCACCAAAGCCTCCAGGAGCCAGAAGCCAAGAGCACGGCTTGAAGTGGCTGTCTGGACAGAGCCCACTGGCACTCAGCCAGGGACGCTGTGGGACACAGCAAGCATGTTCTGCTGTCTGATGACAAAAGGTCTATTTTTGGTGACAAGTCAACATCCGCAGTGGGTGGCCAGCTCTGGGTGGACTGGCCTTTGCCAGAGGGTGCTTCACTGAGGTCAGAAGAGCACTGAGAATGAGGAGGAAGTCATCTCTTCCTCTCAGAAAAAAGGTAGCCTGGGTGAGCAACTCCACCCCCCTGGACCTCCAGGCACAAGGAGCCAGCAGCACACACCATCTCCCACACCATCATGGCTACAGAGGGTACAAGCACACGGGGGCACCCCAGGGGATACTGGGATGCTCGGCACCTGAGCCAGCATGCCAGGCACAGGCGTTGCAGCACCCAGCCAAGTGACCCAGTCAAAACTAGCCACGTCTTCACCTGTCTGGAGGCAAGGCAGCCCTCTGCCCATCCCACCCAAGGACATCTTTGCTCCCAGCACACCGCCTGGCCTGGCCTGGCCACTGGTAAGACACGGATCTCCACAGGAGCCAATTCAGGAGCCACAGATCAGCCCATGGAAGGTCCACCAGCACGCCGGCTGCTCCAGCAGACCCAGGTTTGATGGTGCACTCACAAGTGTCAGGTGAGAGGAGGGTCCCACTGCTGTGCAGAGCCCCAGGCACCACAGCTATGTCCTGCACAGCCCTGCTGTGCCCCAGTCACCACAGCGCCTGTGGAGGCAGGAGCCTCAGGCCAATGTCACCTGCTCAATGTCATGAGCAAAGGCAGCCCTTCCAGAGAAGGGCAAGGTCTGCAGGGCTGCCCGCCAAGCCTTTGAGAGCAAGTTAGGCTCCCGTCACAAAAGCCAACTGCACAGCCTCCAGAGCCTGGGATGCCTGGTCGCAGATGCATTATAGGCTTTGTTGGTCCCTGAGAACTTCCAGCACCCTCCAGGCTTGCTCCATACATGCAGCTCCCAGAGCCCCTGCCATGCCCATCCTGAGCACCACCTGCCCTGCAGGCTCCCAAAGGGAGGCAATTCCCCTGCCCAGTGTCACCACCAGGGTCTCCCAGCCTGACCCACAGACCTGGGGCCATACAGCCTCCAAAACATATAGAGATCCACATGAACTCACTACCATTCACCGTGGACTGTAGGTCTCCACAACCTCCTGCCCCATGCAAGGAGCTCCCCTCAGCTTGCACACCAGCTGACAACACTCACAACCCACACCAGATCAGTGGCCAGTCCACAAGCAAGTAGAGAACTCACCTGTCAGGGACGGAAAAAAGACTTTCAGATCCAGTAGCATGTTCCAGTCCAGACTGGGCACCAGCTGGGCCACCAAGCAGAGGCCCAGTGTGCCTTGACCACAGCAGGCCAAAACCTGTCTCCACCAGCTGAGTCCTGAATCCAGAGAAATCTCCCCCACTCACACCAAAAATGGGCCTCCTTGGTCACCAGATGCCATTCAGCCATGCTGACAGAGGAGGTCTTCCCCTCCTGAGAGACCCCATTGCAAAAGGAGAAACAGCTGACTTCCAAAACCCTGGATGGTCACTGGAGACCCAGAGACAAGTTCTGCAGTCCCACTGCCTGTTCCAACCACTGGGGTAAGGGCAGAGATGTGACAGATGCAGGACGAGAAGAGAGACACAGGACCAGAAAGAGGAGGCAACCATCCTGCATGAACAGCCCAACCTTCTGGGGTCATGTAGGAGACACTCCTTCCCAACCTTGCCTGGTGCTGCCAGGGAAAGCACTCCCTGTGCCAGTTACAGCAGGAGCCACCACAAATATCCTTATCGGTATCTGCGAGCCTCAGAAGTATAAGCTTTCACTAGCCCACACTTTGGCAAACAGAGAGGCAAGGCACAGTGCCCAAGCATAAGGTCTGCAGGGCAACCACAGGCATGTCCACCACATCACAGCCCAAGCAGGGCAGCACCAAGCATGGATGCTGAACCCTTCTGATAGCATCAGCTGCCCCGCTTCACCCCCAGAGACACCGGGAGAAGCAGCAGCAGCACCATGGTTCTCAACTCTAGATGAGGACCTCGACACAAGGACACAAATTAGTGGCAGAGGAGTTGGCCATTGTGACCACATGGGCCCTAGCACACCAGGGACTCCCCAAGGCTCCCATCCCTCACCCACTCCAAACATGGCACATCTTGCAGACAGAAGTGTCCAAGCACATCTAGTCAAACCCTGCCTCTGCCCAGATCACACCAGGAGCAAGGGGACATCCTCTTCGCCACCATCCTCCCCAAGCCAGGATGAGGCAGCGTCTCTCCTCTGCCTCCCGTGATCCAGAAGCAAAAACTGGAAGGTAAAGATAAGACACCTCGCCACAGAATACAAAGACACAAGGTGGCTGAGCGCACCAGGCTGCACCAAGTACAGTCAAGCTCAGTACTTTCTTGCCTCTGATGTCCTCCAGTCACAGTCCACTCAGCGCAATGTTTTCATGGTCAAGTCTAAGCAGGTCCAATACTTGGGAGCCCCACCTTGCAAGCAATGAAACAGGGTTCCTAAAACAAAACAAGTCACCCCCAGAGCAGAAGCACTGGGTGAGAACCAGCAGCACAAGCACTGTGTCCCGTGCCAGCCCCCAGCACATGTGCCCAAGCACACACACAGCTGCTGGCCACCCTGCTGTCCCTCCCCCCCACGGCATTCCTCCACGGTCACACTAGCTACTGCAGAATTACTGGGGAGCCAGGCTGTCTGCCACAGACAAATGCCCATATGCCATTATTCAGAGACCCCAGTGCCACCTAGCATCAGCAGCCAGGCTCCTCATCCCCCAGCAAGTTGATGCACTTTTGCTTGCTCCTTGTCCTTCTTCGTACCCAACAGATTAGCTCTGGCTGGCAGCCATCAGGCTGGGCTTTCTGCTCACCTCTCAGACTGAAGAGCATCATGGAGTAACAGTTTCATCAGACAGGAGCCCTCAGCACGCATCACCTGAGGTTTCAGTAAGAACTCTCAGGGGATGAAAGGACTACAGGGAAGCTCAGAAACACATGAGAGCACTAGAAGCAAGAGAAGGAGTACAGATGAGGAGAGAGAAAGCTGAAGAGACCATCTGCTTTCAACTACAGAGCTGCAAGTCCAGAAAGAGCCTGGGCTGCAATTCTTGCAGCCAGGATATGTGCCAAGGCATGTCCACGAACACTGGCCTCTGCTCCATAACCAGATCCATTATTCTGCTGATAACTTGTTCAGCAGGAGTTATCAGATGATAGCAAGCTTTGCTCGCCCAACACCTTCCAGACAGGGTTATCCAAGAAACCACCTGCTTTCAGGAACCCTTCCCCACAGAGCATCCTCTGCAGATCTGGGAGACCTTATGGACCCCAGTGCTCATCTGAAGAGGATGAGCTGCAAGTGCTTGAAATGCAGTCAGGGAACATCCTGAGCTGGGAACCCAGGTGCTGACCATGCAAGCGTGCCAGCCCCACTGGGCACACCTTACCGTGTGAGGGTTGTCATAGTAGATGCCGATGGAGCAGAGCTTTGAGGAGATGCTGCAGCCATCCGTGAAGAGCTGCCCGGATTCACCATACGGGCCTACCCTGAACTTGTAGGCCAGCGTGATGTTGCTGACAGGCGGGGAGCCGGCACTCACAACCACCTCCGTGAAGAGCCCCGAGTAGACAACGAAACCAAAGACAGTCAGCAGCAGCAGCGTGACCAGCGCCGCGATCAGCCCGAGGAGAACCCAGTCAGACATGATGGATACTTGGTGCTCCATGCTTCTTGATGCACTAGCAGCAGAGGCAAGAAGAAAAAGGAGGGGAGTTAAGCTAGCACTCAGACAAGCACAGCCACTTCCAATTCCTCTTATGTGTGAAGCTTAAAAGACAGTGGAAACACCCCAGAAACCTCCTGTATATTAGTCCCATGTTGCATCAGCCTGTTCCAATTGGTCACAAGGTACAAATTATACTGCTTCAGTGCCTCTTGGGAATGAGGTGGTTATGGAGCAGGGGCAGAGAGACACTGTCCTCATCTCCCCAGAACCAGCCACACTGCTCATGTTCAGCCTTGCATACAGGAGAGACTGAAGACCAGTCCAGCAGCCCACATCACCCAACAGATACACGGCACTGGCCTAAGGATCAGGGGACCATAACCAAATAATTTATCATTTATAGATACCAAATGCAACACTGTGACCAGGGCAGCCCCTTTCTCAAAAAGTCTGGAAGTCCAGGCCTTTAAGAACCCAAACAAAGACCACACCAGTTCAGAGCCAAGCCCTGCATCCAGATACAAGAACCCAGAGAGGCTCGGAGAAAGGTGATGACATAGCTAGAAAAAGCATCCCCAACACACTCGGATGGAATTAATTACTGGTATTTCTTTTCAATGGCTTTTTTTTAACCTAAGAGTTTTTATAACTCCAATGAAGGCTTCCTGTTTTGTTTGGCATCTTTTTTCTCTCATGCTGACTGTGGGACACAACAGCCTGGTGAACGCCTCCTGCTCATTTTCACCCACCAAGTGCAACCACTCCGGGGAGTTGCAACCCAAACCACTGCAGGAGAGTTGTTTGTGTTTTATTCTCCCTTGAAACATAGCTCTGCTCACAAGGACTGGCTGTAACGCTCCCCTGAGACTTTCATGTTTGAAAGCAAAGGTTGAAGTAAACAATTCACCTTTACCTCCCTGTTATTAACACACTTTGCTCAAAAAAAAGTCGTTCACAGTGACTGCTGCTTGCTCAGCTTTATGGCAAGAGAAAAGCCACATCCTGGTAGGAACTGTGGGCGGCTCCGCTCTGCTTGACACCAGCTAGCAGGGGTACAACAAAACGAAGCCCTGCAGAGCCGGCACCACCGGCTGTGCTCTTGGTGCCGCGGTAGCGCAGGCTGGGCACCATCTCGTACCACGGCCCCACTCACCTGAAAAACCAGCTCAGCCCAGAAACGGCTCACGACATCTGATCCACAGGGGTGCAGGATCCGCGGTGCTGCAGCAGGAAAAAATAAGTATCATTGCTTCCTTTCAAAGTCACGAGGTGAAAAGCAAAACAGTCGGGGCAGAGCACCCGAAAGGCGCCTGGTGGCCTCGGACCTGCTGCCCCGAGGAGGGGCGTCCCGAGCAGCGCCCGCTCCTGCAGGGCCTGGCAGGCCGAGATTTCTTCCCAAAGCTCCAGCTGAGCACACAGGTGCTGAGAAACACTGGAACTGGAAAGGAGCGGTGAAGGCAGACAATGTCCCGCAGCTGCCACTGCTGGCGCGTCCCACCCCGTTCCCCACCTCCCCGGG